GGTGCTCATAGCTGTGGCCCTAACTCTTTGGCCTTCTATTACTTTATGTTTTTAAAGGTTGCATATTAATAAAGACATCATAATATAAAATATTTTATGAACTTAAAATGTCCCATATTTGTAAGCTGTTTTAGTTTTTAAATATAGTTTCTAAAGAATTTAAATTTTTTGTAAAACTCCAAATTTATTTTTTAAAAAGGTTAAAATCTCTCAGCCAGGTGTTGGTGGCACACACCTTTAATCCCAGCACTCGGAAGGCAGAGGCAGGCGGATCTCTGTGAGTTCGAGGCCAGCCTGGTCTACAGAGCGAGTTCCAGGACAACCTCCAAAACAATACAGAGAAACCCTGTCTCATAAAACCAGAAAAAAAGGTTAAAATCTCTCAACTGTGGGCTTCTACAATATCAAAAATAAATTAAGTACCTATTTTACCTCACAGTCACAATCTAGACAAGGCAAGATCAGATTCCAACAGTGCAAGCAACACCATGCTCAATGTGTGGGGTTTACTCATGACACTCTAGGCTTACCTGTGGGGCTTGGGTCACCTCTCCAGGTCTACCCTTGGTGACACACACAGCTTGTTTTCTAGGCTTCCCCGTGGGGCTTAGGTGACCCCTCCAGCTCTAATCGGTGACATGTATATCATGATGCTCTAGGCTTCCCCGTGGGGCTTGGGTCACCTCTCCAGGTCTACCCTTGGTGACACACACAGCTTGTTTTCTAGGCTTCCCCGTGGGGCTTGGGTCACCTCTCCAGGTCTACCCTTGGTGACACACACAGCTTGTTTTCTAGGCTTCCCCGTGGGGCTTGGGTCACCTCTCCAGGTCTACCCTCAGTGACACACACAGCTTGTTTTCTAGGCTTCCCCGTGGGGCTTAGGTGACCCCTCCAGCTCTAATCGGTGACATGTATATCATGATGCTCTAGGCTTCCCCGTGGGGCTTGGGTCACCTCTCCAGGTCTATCCCTGGTGACGCACACAGCTTGTTTTCTAGACTTCAGCTGGCTCTGTTTCGCTGTGGCTGTTGTTCCTGTTGGCCATCATATGGCACCGGCACCTCCTAAATGGCTGAGGTCTCATTTCGATTGGGCTGAATTTTCATCTCTAGTGCCTCCTGGGCTGTCTTCAGGGGCTCTGGCCCTGACGCACAGTGCCAAGCCTCAGTTATTCTATACATGCTAGCCTCCACTCTCATGTGGGTCACCAGCAAGGGTGCACATGTTGCCTACATCTCAGGGTTCCTTTAAGATTACCTATGTACAGATGTTTCAACCATCAACCCCCTGCGTTATGAGTTTTAAGCTAACTTTTTTTGTTACAGATTTTACAGATTTTTAACGATAGCCAATAAACTTACAAATCTTGAGGTTCAGAAAGTTCTCATAACAGTCTTACAAAACTTGAGATAAGTTTTATATCTTAGTAGAAATTTTAGACAGTTAAATGAAACCAATAGTCTAATTTTGGGGGGACTGTCTTGCTTTGCTCTCTTTTTCCTGTCACAAAATCAGGTGGTTTTCCTGACATAGGACAGAGAGGAAACTTTAAATAAGCATGCTTGGGTCTAGAGAAGGGAGAGTCATAACCCAACTCCAGTGCCAAAACGTACAACTGCACAAAACAGCTTCAATATCACCCACATCCAAGAGATATTTGAATCCCTGCTGAACTGAATCCAGTGACCAGAGAAGTCCAGGGATAAGAAATTCTAAGCCCTGACCGTTGAAGCAGCCATGGCAATGGTATCAGTGGTGGTTGGTGGCAGCAAAGACAGCAAAACTAATACCAATGAATATAGAACACAGAAACCTGATACACCCAAAGGAGACCAGTCAGAAACAAAACGTGCGGTGGCCACCATCACTCATGGGCCTGACCAATGTCCAACTTGGCTCCTAGTATTTAAACAACCAGAACTTGTCTGGCAGTGTGGTGCTCACTCTTGGCTCTGGATGGGAGACTACTGGGTCTCATGAGACCCCTCCTCATCCCAGATCTCAACAGAACAAGAAAATTACTCTGACATACCACAGGAAGCCCCACAGATGCTTGCTGCTTTTCTCAGCACAGTAGTTCTACTCTGGTAGTCTGAGAAACCAAAAACACAGCTTGGAACCTTGGAATGTCTCAAGGTTTGCACCTCCTGAGGTGGCCCTTCAGCCCCTGAGTCCTAAGATCCAGCTTTAGAATTTGGGTGAATGGTCTGATTTTGCTGGGGGCCTCTAGAAAATGTTAATCCTACTGGATGAGAATAAGACCACTACCACAATTTTTGAGCCAGATTTGAAGCAAGTTTTATTAAATACTGGCCAGGTTCATGCCTGGGATTCCCAGAGTGTGGGATCGAGGGGCTTATAAAGGCAAAACCCACAAGGCTATATATTTTACGTTTTCATCCAACCAGGGGCAAGTATACATCCTAATGTGCCTCCTGCCTATTGTGATAAAGTACATATACTGTTCCATCGGTGCAACCAAGATTGTTACAGAAGTGAAAACACAAGGCTAGTTATCTTACACAAACAGCTCCTAGAATTCCAGGAAGTCATTTGTCCTTGGGCAAATGAAGCTTACGGGTTAGAGACATTTTTGTTTTATAGATTTCTTAAGCACGGTAATTAAAATTTAAAACATACATTTAGTCATCGCATATTCACATTGTATACACTACCTGCCATTAGTGATTTATGAGTACTTTCACTTATCAGATTGACTGTGGTGGTGTTGCAATACTTGAACTCATAGAACACTTACTTTACTTAATAATGGTCCCAAAAGGCAAGGATAGTGATGCTGGCAATTCAGATCACACAGGCATGCACGCACGCACAGAGAGAGAGAGAGAGAGAGAGAGAGAGAGAGAGAGAGAGAGAGATCAATGACAGAGCATTTGTCTAACATACGTGACCCTCGTTTTAGTTCCCAGCATATAAAAAATAGTTAGACATACAAGTCATACCCTACTTCTATTTGTGGCTGGTTGGTAAAGGGTGAGAACCTAAGTTCAGATTCCCAGAACCCACATAAAAAGCCTGTTCTTCTGGAAGAGCAGCCAAAGCTCTTAACCTTTGAGCCATGTTTCATGCAACCCCTTGTTTGTTTTTAAATCAGCATCTTGTTATACATTTTCACGTATACTTTGTTTCTGTTGTTCCTCCTCCATACTCGTCTCCCTCATCTCCCTTTGAAACTAAATTATTACCATGATGTTATTTTTTATGTTTAGTAATTCTCCCCCACCCTTTTAAAAGTTCTCACTACGTAGCCTAGATTGGCATCAAATTCAAGATCCTCCTGGGTCAGCCTCCAGAACGCTGGGATTATAGGTGTGTACCGCCATGCCACCATTGTTTAAAAGAACAACACCATCACTTGAAAGCTACTCTGTCTGACATGAATGCAGCTATCCCGTGCTTTTGGTTAGTTTCATCTTACCCAGCAGTAGCACCACTCTGATATGGGCTGGGCTGTCCCACATCCATCATCAACCAAGACAATGCCCCACTGGCATGCCCACAGGCCAATCTGACGGAGGCAATTCTTCACTCACGGACCCCTCTTTTCAGATGTGTAGAGCTGACAACCAAGATTAGTTATCACAAGGACTTTCCTCTAAGATGGTTCAGAAGAAAGTTATGTTATCTATAGAGTGAGAGAGGGAGTGAGATTGAAGTAAAATGAGTGCAATGTTAACAAGTGAGTGAGAGCAAATGATGGGGGGGTTGTCCTTCTGTACATGGGTTTCTCTTATTGGTTGATGAATAAAACACTGACTATCCAGTAGCCAGGCAGGAAGTATAGGCAGGGCTACCAGACCAGGAGAATTCTGGGGAGAGGACTGATGGAGAGACCTACAGAGAGACACCACGGAGCTGCTGAAGGAGTCACATGCAGAAGCATTCTCCCGTAAGCCAAAACCACATGGAGATACACAGATTAATACAAGCAGATTAATAATTAAGTGAAAGCTAGCCAATAAGAAGCCTGAGCTATTGACTAAACAGTTTATAATTAATATAAGCCTCTGTGTGTTTATTTGGAGCTAAGTGGCTATGGGACCAGGCAGAACAGAAACTCCATCTACAAGCAGAAAGGACGCAGCATTTTCAGCTTGTTCTTAGCTTGATATTTTTTTCCAAAAAGAAAATTAAGAATAAAAACTGTCTTTAAAAATTGTTAAAGGAAGCCTGAAAAGTGGGAGGCAATCATGTAATACCCTTCAGCCTTAGAGTCAGGAGACCATCCTGTTGCCTCCTCTGACAGCGTGCCCATGGAGGATGCATCGAGAGGAGAGCCACAGTCTTCAAATGCTCCATTCCAGTTTAGCAGAGCAGCTGGGCATCCCACAGAGGGCACAGCTGCATAGCCCAGAAGAAACAGGTTTTAAAGATGGAAAGATAAAACAGTGCGTTCGGTTTTGAAGCTGCTGTGTCCCCGCTGTCGACTGAGGGTTCTGAGTGATCTTACCTGCCAGCCCCTTCCTGGTGGATGTCTTTTCATGGGACACCCTGGAAAGCCATGCCGCCTGTAGTCATCACAGGGTTCATTGCCTCAAGGCACGGCAATGGTCGTTTTTCTGTCGCTGTGATAAAACATCACAACCCGAAGTGACTTGGGGTAGAGTCTATTTTGTCTCATGGCTCCAGAGGGTTAGAGTCCGTCATGGCAGGAAAAGCATGGCATGACAGTGGGAACAGGAAGCTTGCTCATTGCAGTTTCACCTCCGCACAGAAAACAGAGAAAGCAGGAGGTAGGGGGTGAGACTATAAAGCCCCCCAAAGTCACTTCCAGTGATGTACGTTTTCTAGCAAGACTCCACCTTATAACTACCCCACTAACTGGGGACCACATGTTCAATACATGAACCTACGAGGGGCGTTTCTTATTGAAACTGCACACACCGTCCACGACTAATGGGACAACAGGCAAATGTTCCTTCAAACAGCTGGCTCTTCCTTGCCACTCTTTAAAACCCCTTCATCGCATACACACACAGTCACATTTCAAGACCGCTTTATTACCAAAACAAACAAAGGAATCTGGCATTTAAATAAATTATACAAACATCTCAAGAGGTAAGGTTTGCAGCCCTTCCGGGGCAGGTCAGTGTCTGTAGGAACATCACAGGTATGAAAGTCTGGATTATTCTGTTTCCTTGCACCTTCCCTCCCTACCTCGGTCACGCCCGGCAGTCTGTGTGACATTTACATTCTCTCCCCAGGCAGAGTTGCAACTGTGGAGTTTCTTCGGCACCTTTTCTGTACCCCTGCCCCTGAGTTTCTAATCACACCTCCACCATGTGTTCTTCAAGTGTATATAGTCTCAAGACGTTGCAGATGCTTGTCCTCTTCCCAAACAAGTCCAAGCCCCGGGCCACCGTGAGTCAGCAATCTCATTTAGTTCTCAGCCTGACCTGCAGGTTAATAAGATCTAGACACTTGGTTCAAAGGGGACTTATAACGTCCTGGGGCTCTGTGGCCTTCCTGTACTTCTTGGACTTTGGAGGAGGTGGAGTAGAGGAGGGTAAGTTGTCATTGGCTGGGGTTCTCCTCTTCCTGGAATTTGGCACTTTGAGTGCAGGGCACAGTGAATCCCAGATAACATTGTCTTTCAGCCTTCCAAGTTTTGGGCTCCATTGCCATAATGGATTCGCTGAGAAGCAACAGCTGCGGCCAAGAATGTGCTGGCTGCTTGCCAGGGCCCTGTGCTTTAACTCTAGAGAGGAGACTCGCTAGCTCACTAGCTTACTTAACACATGGACACATAACAAAGATCAGGCTCAAGTCAGTAAGTGGGATGCTTTCCCAGGTTGGGCCAGCCCAGCCTGTTGGCACAGGGGGCATTACTGAAGGAACTTGGAGAACATTGCATGGTAGTTTTACAAGATGGTTTTGTGTGTGTGTGTGTGTGTGTGTGTGTGTGTGTGTGTGTGTGTGAGAGAGAGAGAGAGAGAGAGAGAGAGAGAACCTATTTTCAAGTCCACAGTGGGATGCCTCTAGTTACTTCCCTGTTTGCATGAGAATTTAATTCCTATTTTCATCTTTCCTGGGGCAAAAGTCCCTGAGATGATTAAGAGTTCCCTGTAGAGGGAGATCTAGGTCTTCATGTCTCTACCCAATTAGGTGCTGAAGCAGGACTTCCTCATCTGCATGTCAGGACCTCCCACCACAGCTAAGGCTACTGGCTGATAAAGGAGCGTTCAAATGACTGGCTCTTTCCAAGTGGACATGAACATAGCAGATTTCCCAAGGGGAGGCAATGCTGGCTCTGAGGTGAGGTGGACTGTCAGGTCCAGGACCCCCCATTTTGTCCTGAGTTTGCACTAGTATCTTACTCCCCTTTCCACGTCTCCAGTACAAAGAGGGATTCTCGAAAGATTTTGTGCATAATAGCTGCAGCTCTATCTTTGGAGGGTTCTGCTGGACACGTGTTTCCAGAATGGGGCAGCATCCAGGCAGGGATGATTCAAGAGGCCAAGTCAGCTCCTCGGTGGGTTGTCCCTGACGAGGTAGTGCTGACAGTCATGCGGGTCCTGCCTACTGCCCACACTGGGGTCTGAAGCGCTGGACAGCAATGGAGGTCTAAGCAGGCTTAGGGCAACGAGAGAAATGGGCACAGACACAGAGTCCTGGACTGGGGACAGCACCGTGTCTTTGAGGCACAAAGCTGACAACTATAAGGCAATTGGAGGGTCAAGCGTCAACGTTCTAACCCAGTTCATCCCCGTGTCCCACGACAGCCTGAAGCCCTCCGAGACCAAACCAGCCAGGCCACAGACCTGTTGGAGCTACACTTCTGTGCAGCACAGTTGCTCTTATCTTTCTGCTGTTGGCTCTCTCTTAAGGCTGGAAGTCAAGGTGTCCATCAGCGGCCATGGGCGGGGCATGGGTAGACGGGCCGATTGAGCTTACTGCCGGTAGAGGCTTGAGTGGGAAAGGGGAGGTGATGAGGTGGGTTCACCAGGCTTTCATCCTTTTCAATCCTTGCCTGCAGAGGCTGAGACAGCTCTCTCCCAGGGAAGCAGGGAGGGAGGGAAGCCAGGAGAGAAGACAAGGAGACGAGAGAGGATCTCGAGCCTTGGTGGACGGACATACTCTTCTCTCTGTCCCTTCCTGTGGTCCTGGGTGTATTGTCCATGGAGATTCCAGGTGCTCATGAGGCAGCATGGGAACCAAACGGGCCCTCATAGGGCGGTCAGGGTCTCTGAGTGAAACATGCTCCCGAACATCTCCTGCAGAGCCACGGGAAGGAAGGGTGAGAGCAAGGCAGCTTTAGACCTGCTGGAGTCAGAGGGGCTGCCACCAAGAGGCCACTGTGCACCGCAGGCCAGAATGGAGCCTCCAGACTGAGATCGCATGGGCCACTGAGCAGGGAGAGGCGGGCTGGCGTAAGACGTGAACTGGTACTGGGCGATGGCAGAAAGTGCTAGTAGTAGCATCTCATCGTGTATTGCATTCTGTGCTATGCGGGTTTTTTGTTTGTTTGTTTGTTTTTCTTTTTAACCCTTTCCTCTCTGAGTGTCAACTCCATTCCCCCTCCCCCCAGGTAACCCCGATGTCAAGACTAGAGAAGTTGTATTATTTCTGTCGCATCTAGGTTTTTATTTTTATTTATTTTTTAATGTGCTGGAGATTCCAAGGGGGCACAGAAATCAGCCTGTTAGATCACAGGCGTCCCTTGCTTGTCATCAACACTCTGAGTGACACACTCAGAGGACCGTGGCATGGGAAGAGAGATGCTATTTTTAACAGACTCGAATCCAGATTTCTCTAAGCTTAGTCACTTGCTTTCTCTTAACTCAGGGCTCTGGAATGGTGATAAATTTCACAGGCAGTGACAGCTTGAATTGCATAGCTTTTGTTTTAAATGCCTAACCAGTTGCAGTAATAATTCATGTATGACCTTAAACTTCATCGATTCTCCCAGAATGTAGTTTCCAAAGAACAGGTGTCTCTGTTCACTGCTGTATGCCCACCTGCGCCAGTGTCAGACAAGCAGCAGGCATTCCACAAACACCTCATGAACTGAGGAAAGATGATTGCCAGTCCCGGGTGGGAGCAGATTAACGAAATATCTCTTGTTTTACAGGTAATATTAACAGGCCCAGTGATGCCACTATCACAGGGCTGGCACACTGGTGAGTTAAGAATAAATAGCAATTCTCTAGGACTTGGTCCAGAAGCTCTCTCATGCCACAGGATGCCGTGTGTTTGTGTGTGTGTGTGTGTGTGTGTGTGTGTGTGCATTTGAGGGTGTGTATGAATGTGTGAGTGTGTATGTGTATATAAGTGTGTGTATGCATGCTGATGCTGAGAAGAATCAAGATCTGTTATTAAAAGAAAGGGGAAACATTGCCACCGTCAAGGTTACTGGAGGAGACAGTAACGGGAGGAGACAGCCAGTGAACGCCTTATATGGAAGCAGGTCCTCTTCCCTCTCCCCCGTCACTGTTTGCCCCTCTGCTCACCTGCTCTAAGTCCCAGTAGCTGGGACTGTCCTCTTCGGAATCGTACAAGGAGAACTCGGTGTCTCCTGGAGCCTGAAGGGAAGGAAGTGTGTACAGGATGAGTTTGGGTAGCAGATGCAGGTGTGTGGTGGGAGGAAGGATATTTGAGAGGACCCCGTGTTTCCCTCATCCCTTTCTCTTGTCCCCACCCCTGCCTCGTGACACAGCACAGCTATGAGCAGACGCCCATCGGGGCTGGCCTCCCTTGTGGGTGTTATAGGCAGGGAGGCACAGGTTGCCTAACCTTGGAATTCCCTTCCTTTCTCTGGAATTCTGCAAAGACAGGATAATCAGACTCCCTTTTCTAGTCTTCTTACTGCACCATTTTAAGGCGTGTGCATGCATTGTGTATATAATTTATAATAGGTAATAGAGACTCTATGTAATATAAATTATTTATAAATATTGAAACAAGGGTGAGAGATGGCTCAGTGGGTAAAGGCACATGTCACCAGGCCAAAGAGCCCAAGTTTGACCCCCAGGACTCACATAACTAGATATGGTGCAATGACATAACTTATTGGTGCAATGACAAACAATAAGGAGTCCCCAAAAGTCCCCGTGGATAAGGTTCATGAGTCAGAATGCTCCACTAGTCTCCCAGGACCTGCAAGTGAGGGGAGGCTGGGTCTGGCTCTTCAGATTCTGAGGTTTTAGACCGTTATCTGTATCTTCCTTCCACACCACTCACTGAGCTAGTAAGTTAAATGCCTCATCCTCTCCATCCATTTCAGCCCGAAATCATCAAGGCAGGGCACCCAGCACAAAACAGCAAAGGGCAATGGTTGGTGGTGCCCACTCTAAAGATAGGGAAACTGAGATTCAAGAGAGTGAGGTTCTTTCTAATATGCATTGGTCCTCCTGTTTGTGAGCGCTGGAGCCTAGGATTCTTCAGGTATGGAGACTTTACCCCTTGGAAACTGCGTGCTGGGGCTCCTCTCATATTCGCCTGGGCAAAGAGGACCGCATCATGGATGCTGGGGAACACGTGATTGCGCTGGACACACCCATCTTCAAAGACGCCTCCGTGGCTGATGTCATTGTACACCTGGGCTGGAAGGAGGCAGGTAAGGAGAGGAAAAGGTAACAGCAGTAGTGGGTAGGGGCTGGAGGGAGGAGGTTGGTGAAGATAACAATTGGCCTTGCAATATCAGTTCTGGACAGCAGAGGGCTGTATGATCTTGAAAATGCCGGGCCCTCCACCCAGAGCAGAAGGAAGCCTTTGGATTGGAGAAGTGGTTGCTTGTCAAGGACAGCATTCTGGAGATGGTTTTCTGGGAGTGTTCATTGAGGGTGAGAGTAACGAACAGGCTCATTATGGGGCCCTTGCAGAGTCCTGCTGGGTGGCATTTGGATACATGTGCATCCTTTTGCATTTCTCTTTCGCCCCTATGTGCTGTCTATTCTTGGCATATGTGCAAATTCAGTGAGTGTCTTTTGCTCTGAGGCATGGCCTTGGGGCTGCATAAAGTACTGTTTGGAGATAAGTCCCTGGTAAATTAGGGTCTGTGGGCTTTCTGTGTGTCTACAGATACACGGATCTTCTGACTTGGAAAGGACCCCAAGCCCAACCAGCCAACTCTCCTCCAATTTTCGTGGGTGGAGATGGGCCCCATACAATAAAGTGACTTGGCTGACTCCAGGATACACACAAATTAGTGGTGAGCAGATTATAATACTGTCTTTTCTTAACCGCATGAACATACCCCACCCCAGGATGCTCTATAACCTGTCTCTTCTGCATCCCTTCTCCGGCCTCTGGTCCCTTAAATGCCCACCCAACCCCCACTTTTCTTACCATGGATATTCACCAGAAAGATCTGGACTCCGATCTTCCCATAGGTGGAGCTTAGCTAGAGGGGTTGGGGAAGAGGGGAGGGAGGAAATGGGAGAAAAGAAAGGAAAGGAATGTTCTGAGTGGGTCTTAAAAGTGGTTCACGGAACACTCCAGAGAGGAAGGCAAACAAACAAGCCATCCTGAGGGCCCTGGCAGCCACAGGCGTGAGTGGCAGAGAGCACCCACGTCTCTCTGGAGTGTTGGCCCAAGGCCTCTCTGGAAAGTGGGGCGGAAATGGGGCTTTGCCAGTGCGGTAGGCACTTGAAGTTACCATGGCCTTTTTTCCAATGCTCAGGACCAAGGCTCAGTTAAGCCAGTCAGAGAAATCAGGGGATCCAGGTCCAGCCTAGAGAAGCCAACTGAGCTCACACCAGGGAAAGGCCTTTGCTGTCCCTGGCTGGTAGTGACATCACTCAGGACACACTGTGTGCCCCTCTGGTCTCTTGGTCTGCCTCCGTCTGAGCCCTTCTGAGGTTTGCTGTCACACTGACATTTCAGGGTCACTGAAAAGGGATCAAGTGGGTCCCTCTGTCCGTGGCATTCACAGCCTGCCTGCTTGGCTTGAGTTTGGGACACACCAGTGTTACGTTTCCCTCTCTCCTGGCTTGGCTGGTGAATGCAGGAAGGGGAAGCAGAACCAGGAACCAAACTGGGCTCACTCAGAGAACCCAAAGTGGTTTCTGGGGACTGATGACTTGAAAAAGAACCAGGATGGCCTTGGAGGGTGACTTACTCCAGCACCTCATTGCCCTGAAGAGTGCATCCACCCTGCTGGCATCTGGGGCAAGGAGTCCCGAGGGTCTGGAACCTCCCTCAGTTAGTTCACAGGAGGGAAGTGAGCAGGGGTAGAGGCACATTCCCTCCTCCCAGCCCCACCAGGCCTCACCTTGGCTAGGGCTTTGACGCCCATCAGGTCCACAAAGCTGACTCCACTCATGTCGAGGATGAGAGTGTGGAAGGTGGCAAAGGGTGGGACACTGGCTAGAGTGTCACTAGGCTCCCTGGGGGGCTGAGCGGAGGTGGGCAGCTCACACAGGGCAGCCGCTGGGGTGTCTGGGCTGAAGGTGATGTAGGATATGTTGGCGTCACCTGCAGGGGCTTGGTTGTTGTTGGGGTCCGTTGAGGGGGCACTTTCAAAGTCCTGTTGGAGTTCCTGCAGAGAGACTGTCTGGGGGTGGAAAGGGGACAGTCAGGGACTGTGGCGTGGATCCCTAAGCAGAGGCAGGGAACATTTCAGCTTGGTAGTGAATACAGGCTTCCCCTAAAGCCCCTTCCTATGGGAGGCCAGCAAGCTTCTCCTTCCCAATCCAAGAGGTAAGAACCTTCCAGAGAAGCCCGAAGCCTTTGCCGCTCTGCTTGAGAGGAAGCCCCTCTAGAGACAGCAGGACTCCAGGTGCGCTTGCCAGTGCCCGCCGGCTTCTCCTGCTCCCCCAGCCTCCCCCCGCGTGGGCACCTAGAACATTCCCACTGGAGACAGGTGCAGCGGTTACCCTGGCGGCTGGCAGCCTTCCCCCAGAAGGTGTCCAGCAGTGCTGTCGGAGACTTCCTGCCTGCCTCTCAGTGGGCTGCAGGCTGGGAGCCAGGGTGGAGATCAGAATGGGCACGGAAGGTGGTCCCGGCCTCGGCTCACCTTGGTTTTCATGAAGAGAGATTTCCTTTGCTGTGTCGGCATGGCTGTCCTCTTCTCCTGCTTCCTGAGATATTTCTGCTTGGCGAGTAATATTTTCTGGGGGTCCATACCTGTCTGTGGGGAGAGGGCCAACAGCAGCCTTGACCTCTACCTTTGTGGGATGGCCTGCCCTTGGCCCCTAGCCTCTTTCTGCCTCCATCTTCGGGCCGCTGTCTCTTCAGCCCTCTGCTCAGCAGGGATGGAGCCTTACCTTGGCAATGATTTTTTGCCTGAAGATCTCTGAGTTGGCAAAGTAGAGAGGGGAGCAGTAAGTGACAATCTTAACCCCCTCAATTTCCTGGACCTGTGACAGGGAGACTGAGCTCAGGTCGCAGATAGGTCTTGGGGAGGGGACAGAGGGAAGCAGGGAGGTCCTAAGCTTGGATCACATACCCTGTTGTAGGTCTTGGGGTTCACGTAGATGTCCGTGTCCATGACCTGGGCCAGCGTGGAGCCATTTCGACTAGAGGGAGAAGGGGGTGGTTGGAGAGTAAGGATGCTAGCAGCTTGGAGTGATGCTGGGGTGGGGGGCAAGGAAGGTCAGCCGGGACTCCTGTCCTTATGCAGGCTTATTTGTTAGTCTTCTGTCCTGGGGACCTGTGCCTGGTGGTCTGTGACTGTTCTAGACTAGGCATATGTCGATGTCGCCACCAGACTGGGGCTCAGGGGAGAGAAGGGAGAAGGGTACGTAGGTGACAAAGCCAGAACTTCCTGGTTCTCCTATGCTCAGCAATGTCCTTGCCACACCCTGACTTTCTTCCTCTGTGCCATCCTCAGTCTGCGATAATGGCTTCTTTTAGAGGAAGACCAGAGTCCACCCTCTGGCCTAGTGTTCTCCGGGGGAGGGTCCCATTTGAACTGAGGTTCTCACGGTGTTTGCGGGAGGGTGAGTGGGAGAGTATGCCCCCCCTCATCCCCAGCCCTCTGAAACCATGCTGGTTTGCTCTGGGGCTTTAGGGTACAGAAGTCAGATAGCTTAGTCTATGCCCACTGTCCTGGCTGAGTTATATACTTCTGAGGTCTGGCAGCGCGTCCCTGTGCTGGGCCCAGAAGACAGTGGTACAGTGTGCTATGTTAGATCTTGGCATGGGAGTCCCCTTGCAGACCGATTCAGAAACCCCACACTGGGCCAGGGAGGGATGAGGTTGTCACTTACAACTGGGTCTGGAAGACCACAACCAGGATGGAGAAGGCGACACCCACTGCTACACCGTAGGGCAGACTCAGGAAAAACGCGGAGAGGAAGCTGACCACCCAGACACACTGTGAAGAGGGAGATGTCAAAGGCAGTCTGAGGAGAAAAACTGCCCCTTTCAGGAAGTCTTCTGGGATTAACCACGGCCCTAGTCGGCCCGTCCAACTCAGATTGCTCCTTCCCTTCTTGATCATATTTGGCGATGAGTAACACTCTGATACTTTGGTTGGCTTGCCTGTTTCTCTTACACTGAGTGCAGCTCTTGATTTTTCTTGGTCAAGCACCGGGGGTTGAGTGCAGGGCCTCAATACTAGTCAAGTGCTCTACCATTGAGTGCCAACCCACACAGTCCTCGGCCCAGTTTTAAAAATAGGATTCTAGCCTTCTGTTTTAATAGATGATAGAAGTTGCACCGAGAGACGGCCTGAGTGAGGAAGAAGAGCGTGCCCTTGGGTCAGATGCACCCAGGTGCAAAGCTGGGTTCTGGATTGTGCAGCTGTGTGAGCCAGTTTCCTAGTTCACAGAAGGGAAAATGAGCTCCACTCTGCAAGAAGACTAAAGTCAGAGAGTCATCGGTCCTAGCCTTGCAGTGTGCTCCCAAGTAAGTGCGAGCCTTCTTCCTGTCTAACAGTGAGGTGTGACTGTGAGCCTTCTTCCTGTCTAACAGTGAGGAGTGAGTGTGAGCTTCTTCCTGTCTAACAGTGAGGGGTGAGTGTGAGCCTCTTCCTGTCTAACAGTGAGGGGTGAGTGTGAGCCTCTTCCTGTCTAACAGTGAGGAGTGAGTGTGAGCCTCTTCCTGTCTAACAGTGAGGAGTGAGTGTGAGCCTCTTCCTGTCTAACAGTGAGGGGTGAGTGTGAGCCTCTTCCTGTCTAACAGTGAGGAGTGAGTGTGAGCCTCTTCCTGTCTAACAGTGAGGAGTGAGTGTGAGCCTCTTCCTGTCTAACAGTGAGGAGTGAGTGTGAGCCTCTTCCTGTCTAACAGTGAGGGGTGAGTGTGAGCCTCTTCCTGTCTAACAGTGAGGAGTGAGTGTGAGCCTCTTCCTGTCCAACAGTGAGGAGTGAGTGTGAGCCTCTTCCTGTCTAACAGTGAGGAGTGAGTGTGAGCCTCTTCCTGTCTAACAGTGAGGAGTGAGTGTGAGCCTCTTCCTGTCTAACAGTGAGGAGTGAGTGTGAGCCTCTTCCTGTCTAACAGTGAGGTGTGTGAGCTTCTTCCTGTCTAACAGTGAGGGGTGAGTGTGAGCCTCTTCCTGTCTAACAGTGAGGAGTGAGTGTGAGCCTCTTCCTGTCTAACAGTGAGGAGTGAGTGTGAGCTTCTTCCTGTCCAACAGTGAGGAGTGAGTGTGAGCCTCTTCCTGTCTAACAGTGAGGGGTGAGTGTGAGCCTCTTCCTGTCTAACAGTGAGGTGTGTGAGCCTCTTCCTGTCTAACAGTGAGGAGTGAGTGTGAGCCTCTTCCTGTCTAACAGTGAGGAATGTGAGCCTCTTCCTGTCTAACAGTGAGGTGTGTGAGCCTCTTCCTGTCTAACAGTGAGGGGTGAGTGTGAGCCTCTTCCTGTCTAACAGTGAGGTGTGTGAGCCTCTTCCTGTCTAACAGTGAGGAGTGAGTGTGAGCCTCTTCCTGTCTAACAGTGAGGAGTGTGAGCCTCTTCCTGTCTAACAGTGAGGTGTGTGAACCTCTTCCTGTCTAACAGTGAGGAATGTGAGCCTCTTCCTGTCTAACAGTGAGGTGTGTGAGCCTCTTCCTGTCTAACAGTGAGGGGTGAGTGTGAGCCTCTTCCTGTCTAACAGTGAGGAGTGAGTGTGAGCCTCTTCCTGTCTAACAGTGAGGAGTGAGTGTGAGCCTCTTCCTGTCTAACAGTGAGGAGTGAGTGTGAGCCTCTTCCTGTCTAACAGTGAGGAGTGAGTGTGAGCCTCTTCCTGTCTAACAGTGAGGGGTGAGTGTGAGCCTCTTCCTGTCTAACAATGAGGAGTGAGTGTGAGCCTCTTCCTGTCCAACAGTGAGGAGTGAGTGTGAGCCTCTTCCTGTCTAACAGTGAGGAATGTGAGCCTCTTCCTGTCTAACAGTGAGGAGTGAGTGTGAGCCTCTTCCTGTCTAACAGTGAGGTGTGTACGCGTTGATGGGTACTCATCTCCTGAACAGAAAATGTGTGCTGGGGTCTGGGTTATGTGCATTACCCTCCAAGGGCCCTCTGCAGCCTCTAAATGGCTCTGAAGGAATCAGCCTCTGCTGGCACTTCTGTAGAGATGTGCAGTGACGATCAAGTCCCATGGCACCATATGGCTACAAGGACTGTGGCCACAGCCAGGAGATGGTTGTCATGTGGTGAACGCAGATGCATGGGCTGGGAATGAGAACATTCGTTTCTTCCCTTCTCCATCACTCACTGGGTGTCCTCGGAGGGACCACACGTTTCCAGACTTTAACGACTTCCTTCCCTACAGGGTGCTGGCAAGCCCCTGCCTATGAAGGCAGGACAACCCAGAAGTCTGGAGCCTAGTAGGGAGTTTCCACCCAGACCCTGGCACTTGCTTCCTCCATTGCCTCTGTTGATTTATTTACTTAACCGTGCTGAGCCTTGATTTTTGTCATCCTCAATAGCTTTTAGTAAGCGTCGTCTCTGGGTTACGGTGGGTGGGCTTAAGTGGGAATAAGGGAGCACTGTCTACACACTGGAGCCCTTATCAGCACTGCCTGTGATGGCACAGCTGGAGTATGAAGTCTCAGTGGCAGGATGTTTACATAGCATGGCGCTTTCCCGTTTTGATCCACCTAATCTTTAGGGTCAGAGCACGCTGCAGAACATAGCGCCATCCACATACAGGTGAGGAAGAAGTCTAGAAGCTTGCTCAGGATGCTGGTCTCCTTCCTGGTTTTGTGTTCTAAGATTTTTTACTACCTATCTACTTTGGCTAGGGAAGGTGCGGGTAGTAAATTATAAAAATAATAGCTCCTATGTTTTGCTGATCACAAATGCAACTCAGACTGCATACAGTTGGCTAATTCCATCTTCTTCATAAGCCATCCCAAGGTTGGATGTGCCCACTTTGCAGGTGTGGAAGCCGAAGCTGAGAGGTAGAGGAATTTGCTGTTGGCTACAGAGCCAGGGAGTGGTTGAGTTAGGCTTGAACAAAGAATGGCTCTTTCCAAAGCCTGGCTTCTCAGCCCCTGGGGATTAGGGAACGGCAGACTAGAGGGCCTTGCATTAGGTCAGAGCTCCGGGGCTTAGAGGAGGCCAGGAGCACCCCCGACACTTACACAGTCCAGCTTGCTCTTCTTCCATAGGTAGTAGGGGTCTCCGAGTTGCTTGAGGGAGTTCTTGAGGTTGACAGCTATCAGGGCTCCTAGCACAGCCTGGAGAAGCAGAACATTGCTTTGTGTCATTTGAAGCGTCCCTTCATTTTGTCCTTCCTACACACACCTGACCCTGGATGCCCATCAGGACAAAGCCAGAGTTCCAGGATTCTTTCCTTAGGCGCCCCCTCAGTCTTAGGATTGGAAAGAGTACCTCTTGAGCCATACAGTTCATTGTGGGCTCACATTTACTTTTACCCTCTCCCTGCATCCCTGAAGGGCTCACACCTTACATCCCTGTAAGAGGCTGTGTGGCTGCCCTGCACTCCCAGACACCTTGCCCTCTATCCTCCAGCCTAGGGATCAAGCTCCCAGAAAGCCAGAGGTTGAAACCGATCCTACACAGTGAGCCGCCTCGCCAGACAAGTTAGGTTGTCAACCTCAGTCTCCCTCACCTGTACAAGGCAGAAAGAAAATCTCTGTTGTTACTTCCTAGGGCAGCTGACACCGAGTGACGGTGGCACTTTGGATTCCATCAAGTGCTACACCCTCTTGTAGGGATTGTTCATGCTGGAGGCTGACATTGTTCCCTGCTGGGTTGGGCTCTTACCTTGGGAAGAGGGTACAGATAGGATCCCAGGACCAGCATGGTGACCATCACCACCAGAGACACACACAAGCTTGCCACCTAGTCAGAGAAAGCTGTGTGAGTGGGTACGGGTGACTCGTGACTCGACTGTATCCCAGGGAATGAAAACTAGCCGGGTAAGCGTGGTATGCCTGTGGCACCTGGAAGTCTCCAGAACAATTGCTCCGTTTCCACTCCTACCCAGGTCGTCTGAGACAAGGCTCACCTGGGACTTTCCTCCAGCCCCATCCACAGCCAATGTGACAGAGAGAGCACAGCAAATGACGTGGATCTTAAAAAAGGAGCCGAAGAAGTTGCTACAGCCCAGGGCGATCATCTCCTGTGGAGAGAGGGCAGGGTTGGTGGGAAGTAGGGGTCAGATGTGGGCAGCCATCTGTGTGTGTGTAGGGGGTCTGAGGCCTAGTTTGGAAGTGATTGTGATGCTGTGACCACACACTAGCACCCAAAGGTTAGCCGCAGGCTGGGGAGGTGGTTCAGCAGGTAAACACTTGCAGCATGGGCATGAGAACCTGGGTTCAGATCTCCAGTACCCATGTAAAAAAAAAAAAAAAAAAAAGAACACAGATCACAGTGCTGAGGAGGTAGAGGCAGGAGGATTCCCAGAGCTTACTGTCTTGGCAATGTAGTCAGTCAGTGAGCACTCAGAAAAAAAAAAGTTTGAGAAGTGATGGATGAATACATCAGATGTTAGCCTCTGGCCTCCATATGTAGCACACATACACATGTATATGAACTTGCATATACATGTACACACAGGAACATGTAAACTATCCTCTAAGACTCCCCACAGAAAAAAAAAAAGAAAAGAAAAAGAAAGTTAAACCCAGAGTTCAGTCTCTTCGGTCTAGTTCCCCAACCCTCACCGTCTCTCCTTAACACAGTTCCAAGGTGTCTTTCTCTCCCCCTTTTTGAGGTGCTGGGGCATAACCCAGAGACTCTTGTATGCCAGGCATACAAGATGTGACTCTACCATGGAGTCACATCGCCAACCCCCAAAGCTGTCATTGGTAGGCTTCTGCCGGCCCATACCCCCGAACCCTGCCTGCCAGGGGCAGCTGGAGATACCTGGTTCGAATCCACGTCATAGCCATGCTTGTTGGCAAGGGTCCGGCCCATGGCCAGATTGATGACATAGCCCACAATTGCCAGGGAGAAGGCTGTGCCCACCATGTCCTTCCACTGGGAAACCACCGGCACCACTGGAGTGGGAAACCTGCCGAGTGTCCAAAAAGAGGTGGGGCTGGGGGTGTGAGAAGGAGGGGAGCTGAGCCCCACCATGTGCTAGCATCTTATTTGCAAGGCTTGTCCCACGCGGCCTCACACAGTACACTCAGAAAGCAGGTCCCGCCACTCTTGGTTTTGAAGGAGAGAGCCAGGGCTTAAGAGAATTAACTTGTCCAGGCCAACAAGCCAGTAAGCAGGAGGGCTTCATTTGTTTATGCCCAGACTCTGATTCTTTGTACACTAGTTTCCAGAACCCACAGACCTCCAGTGCTATGAGGCCTTGTCTCCTCCTCCCCTGTTGGGGCAAGCCTTGCCCAAGTTGTCCTGAATCTAGCATGGTACCTGACATAGAATAGATGCTTAAAGAATTTGGTTGACCTTAGTGGCTCCCTTTCTGCACGGGTTAAAAAAAAACAAAAACGAGTATGTACTAGAACAAAGCTGAAAGCCAGGGATGGGGGGATCTGTGAGTGGTTTGACTGTATTCAGTACATGAGACTCATGGGGGCTGGGAGGGTAGCATTTGAGACTCACTTTCTATGAAGAGGCCAGCATGGGCTGGTTATGTGACTTTTCTGAGTCAGTTTTCAATTCATTTCAGCTAGAGCCTCTCAACTCCACCAGGGCCCCGGCTCTGGGGCGGGAATGGGCTGGGTTTGGCCTCTGAGTGATCTGGACTCACCCATGTTGAATCTCTCCGACGATCTGCATGTGATATTTTTTTGGCATCTTGTAGCTCCCAGAGATAGCTGTTGCCACTACCACCTGCAAACCCCAAAGTGGAGAATGGATATTGACTCTTAGCTGGGACTAGGTCAGGGGTCTTTCCTAAATCCTTTCTCTGGGATTCCCAGATCCCACTGTCTTGCCTCCTTAGGTCCGTGGGGCAGTGTGTGTATGAGGCAGCCTGAGGAGTCACATGGTGGGCCGCACGACATACTCACCTGTGACTTCCTCTGCCTTCGGCTGCCAGTGGAGTGGGTAGAGGGGTGGACAGAGGCTCCCCTGCTCACAGCCGCCCTATCCTGACCCTCAGAACCCTGTCTCCAGGTAGGCAGGATGCTCACCACGATCATCTCCGTAGGGATGGGGAAGTGGATCTTGTGCATGTACCGGGCGTTGAGTTCCTTCACCAGCACCAGGAAGACAGCGCTGACCAGGGCGAAGACGAGCGAGGCGATGTTGGTGTGGGGGAGGTTTTTGCAAATGTCAATGAAGGTCTAAGGGAGAGAGCATCATAGGCTCCCATCCTTTCCTCCCATACTGCCCTGCCCTCGGGTGCCTGGCCCAGGGGAGACATACGAGGGCAGAACACAGCCCTGGTTGCGAATACCATCCCACCTGCAACTACCCTCTCCCAGAGGGTGTGTCAGGAGTGAGTGCCAAGGAGTCGTACTTTCTCATGATATTCATGTGTGTATGTCTAAGTGAGTGTATGTCACATGTGTGCAGGCAAGATAGAGTGTCATCCACTAGAGCTAGAGTTACAGGGGCTTGTGATCCACCTGATGTGGGGCTGGGGGCTTTAAGATGACATAATTCCTTTCTCTTGTCAAGAGCCTTCACTAAAAAAGGAAGGGCTTCCCAGGTAAAGGAGCTGAGGCGCTGGAATGGGGTCTCGTGTTCTGCAGGGATTGACCAGAGAGCCCAGCGAGCACATGAGGATCTGTTAGACCCCTTTCTCACCAGGAGGACCCGATGGGAGCCTCTCTACCCATTGGCCCAGCCAGCTATCAGAATGAACAGTTCATTCTGCTCCCATCCCGCCCCTCCCCAAAGGGGCGTTTCCGGACTCACAAAAACGATGGAGCCTGGGCCTGTGTAGGAGGGGATGGTCAGACCAAAGATGTACTTGAGCACAGAGATCAGGATCTGCAGGCCAGCGGCTGTCATGAAGCCCCGGATGAAGGATTCAGAGAGGTAAATGGCGACAAAGCCAAACTGCACGAAACCCAAGCCCATCTGGAAGGAAGGAAGCCGAGAGTCCGCAGTGGGTCGTCTGCTCCAACTGCCTCACACAGCTCAGGAACAGCAGGCAAGGACTCAGGGAAATGAGTCCTCTGCAAACTTTCCCTGCCATTCTCTGGGACCTGGGTGCCTGCCACCAAGCCTTAGTTCCCTCGGCAGCACACAGCCTCTCTGTCACTTCACTCTGCTGGCTTCAGCTCCTTTATCTTAAAATAAACGTGGTCCTCCCCCGGTGCCACCTGTTGCCCAACTGAAAACTCGAGAGTCTTGGCAAAATGCTTCCTCCTCCCTCCCCCGTCTCCTTCTCCACGGCCACCACTCTGTCTCTCCCGCCTGGGTATCTGCACAATCCCCGCCTTAGTTCCCCACGCCAGCCATCTTTCCGAGCTAATAGGACCCGAGTTGCTGCCAAGGGGACAACAGACTGAAGACTTTGTTCTGGCTTCCTCTGCCCCTCTGCCCTTGAGCCACGCTAAAGTCCTTGGCGTCCCCTTCCTGCCCAGGCTTCACTTAGCCCTTGGTGCCTGTGGGTGGTGTCCCCTCTGCCTGCAGCAGTCTGTCCTCCTGTCCAGTCACCAGTGAACTTCCACTCGTCCTTGCCTTCTCAGGTCAGATGTCCCCTCCTCTCTGACGACTTTCCCGGGTTCCCATAGCCACTTGTTCAGGGTTCTACTGAGCCTCTTATCTCACCCCGGCACACAAATCTATCTGTTGACAAGGCCACTTCCTCTGTCCGGCTCGGAGCCACTTGTGAACTCTTTTTTTTTTTTTTTAACTTATCTTTGTGTCCTCAGGGCTCAGCTCAGTTCCTGGCAGAAAACATTAGGTGAGTGATGGCTAAATGACAGGTGCTCTCTGAAGTGGCTGCTGAACTTGCATTCTGCCACACTGCCTCTTTCATCAACACTGGAGGAATCCTTTGCACCCCTGTTAGATGGTCTGCTACGTGGTATCCCGCGGCTGGGGCTGGGGAGGAGGCTGGAGGGCAGGAGGGATGCTCAAAGAGATCGGGGTTTTTCCGAGGGACAGTGGAAAGCCTCTGAGCAGACTTTATGCTCAAGACAGTTCCATCTGTGGCACTGCTACACACAGGCAGGCAGAGACTCTAAACTATTTTTAAGGTCCTTTTAGTCCCTAGGATGGGGAGGATAGCTTTAGCGCCACACTGGGGTTTTGAGGTAGAGATAAAGTGGCCTACCACCTTCTGAGGTGTGTGTGTGTGGGGGTCACTGGTAGGGCTGGGAGCTGGGCTCCTCACCTGAATGACAGCAGTCAGGCAGGCAAGTGTGGCTGACACATGCAGCCTCTCCGCCTCCATGGCTGCTGTGTCCACGTAACTCTCATTGGTGGCATTGTTGAAGATCTGGAATTTTGACTCTGGGGCCAGCTGCAGACAGATGTTACCCACCAGGATGCTGATAACGGCAAAGGTACCTGTGGTGCCCCACCCAGCCAGCAAAAGTCAGAAGTTTGCAGCATACCCATGGAAATGACCAAGGGGTCCAGCCCTGGAACATGCACCAGCCCCAGAGGAATGGCCCCCTAGGCTGGTCTCTGCCAGCAGCACCTCACCAGCAGTCACATCTAAGCTGCCAAGGACACTTCCCCAGATCAGGTATACCCTCGTTAGCATCATCTCTTTGGACACCAACTCAGAAGTGCAAGCAGAGCCTGGACCAGAAACTAGTCCTGTGTCCAGATTCTTTCCTTCCATCAACTCTGTCTCTCTTGGAGCCACTTGTGAACTGGGCCTCTTTTTTTTAAATCTTTGTATCCTCAGGGTCTAGCTTAATTCTTAGACAGCTCCACATATCCCTGCAGTGGCCTGCTGAGAGCAGCCATGTCTCTCTCAATCTGTTTGGTCTGCATGGCATATGGTTTATCTGGTGCTGTCACACCTTGCTCTCCTTCCTGGGAGGAAGATGCAATAACTTGTGCTGACTGAGCTCACACGGGTGTAGTGATTTCTCCAAGGTCATGGAGGACCCAGGACTGATGCAGCGACCATCCTTTCAGGTTGGATCAGCATCAATTCCAGGAGAATAAAGGTGGAAACAGAACCTCCTTCACCATGCCCTGTGTCTTTGAGGTCCAAGTCATCATGCTCAGTGGGGGGAGGGATGGGGGGAGGGAAAGCAGGGGAGGGGGTAGAGATGGGAAGTGACCTTACCTGGCACCATCTGGTGTATACCCCCTAGGAAGAAGTAGGTCAGGAGGGGGAAGAAGGAGGAGTAGAGACCATTGACTGCCGGAAGGTTAGCCAGCAATGCAAATGCCATACCTGCAGGAGACAAGGAGAGGAAGGCTTAGCTCCGGAGAGCATCTGGTTCACAGAGGTCACAGAATGGTAGGGTAGAGATGGGGGAAAGAACAGGAGGCCAGCTGCGCCTGCCTGGGGGTACTCTCACCTTGTGGCACCTGTATACATCCCCCACTGAGTCCACCCAGCATGTCAGGGATGATGTAGTCTTTGATCTTGTACTTGGGAAGCCAGGAGAGCACTGGCAACAGCCCAAACACAATGGCTTTGAACTTGGTGGAGGAGCACCTGTAGGAGAAGAGGGCAGGTTGCAGGGAAATGCTAGCATCCTCATCATTCCTCGGTGCACTCTGGAGTGCACATCCTGTGCTGCAGGATGTCGCGGAGGGAAAGCTGTGCTTTAAGCTGGAGAGCGTAGCAACACACCCTGGGCATGTTGCTGACTCTCCACTGGGGACTCTACGAGGCTGGGCTTCAAGCTGTTGATTTTATGGTAGCTCAGCCTTCTTGAGTCCCTTTCTTTTTGAACTTCTCAAAGAAGGCAACCTCTGTTGTCCCTGTAAGGTGCACCCTGCCAACTTGTTGCCCTCTGCATATGGTGGGTGAGTCTGGCAGGAGTGTTCACCCCCGGCAAGGCATCAGAGTGAAAAGAAAGAGGAGAGAGCCGTTCCTTGGCCGACAGGGCAAGTATTGATCGCTACTGTTTGTGGAGCACCCTGAGATCCTTTCATGGAAACTCATGAGTAGCAGGAACAAGGGCTTACAAACCTGAGGGTGACAGCCAGAAGATTGATGACTTGGGGTGGGGGTTGCTTTTCTTCTCCCAAGTGGGGGGAGTCAAATGCTCTGGGTTCCTCTGGTGACTCATGGGCCGAGTCTGATTAGGCTCCCTTTTCTGCCCCGCACCAATCTCTACTCTTTGCTGTTGCTCAACAATAGTTTCCCTGACACTGGGGCCCCTGGATGTCACCCAAGACTGAAACTAACACAGACAATGCTTTGTATCCTGGAAAGTCTAGGCAGATTTTTTTTTTTGGTCCGATTAAATACTCTGCAGAACGGACAGACGGCATGTCCACCAGCCTGTCAGTCCAGCCTCTTCTAGGGCCTGTGGTGCTTCTTGCACCCTGGACATGGTGAATGGCTTCGAGCATACCTAAGAAACTTATGGTGGGAGGCAAGAGCCCTCCGGGAGCTCTGACAGGTCTGCTTATGGCAGAGAAAACTGAACTCGCCCGTAGACAGCTGGCCGGGGAAGGAATAGAACTCACATGCCCAGCCTTCTTTCACCTCTGCCATATGTCAGGCAAAGCAACCTGAAGTCTGAAAGAAGTGCTGGGAAGAGATGCCAGCCTCAGAGGCCAGGATGGAGTTGGAGGGAGGGATTAGCTCTCCAGACATTCATTCATTCATTCAGCAACCAGTATTCACCGGAGCGCCGCCTGGGTGTAAGACACTGTTGGGGGGGGGGGGCTGGTGCCAGTGTCATGGGAACTGTTAGTTTTCTGCTCCTCTTTATAGTTCTAATCACCTCTAACCTCCAGGGAAACATCAGGTCCTCCATCCCTTCAGCACCCAAGCAACCTAAATGTAAACTCCTTGGACACATTGACTGGCCGAGCCCATCTGTCAGAGGGGCTCAGCGGCGGGGACAGGGCTCAGACTCTGGGCACAAGCCTCTCGAGCGGCAGATATGAGCCTCCCAGGAGAAGCAGGGTTGGTCTAAGGCTTCAGTAAAGACTCCAGTGGGTGATTCCCCAGCCTCAACCTGTTCCACCTGCAACTCCGCCTTAGCTACTGCCGGTGACCTCAATCCAGGTAACTGAATCAGCCGTTTCCCCGGGGGAGCAGGAGAGGGTGAGGTCTGCCAGAAGTCTGGGGGGGGGGTGAAGCCCATGGCCTCAGGCTTCTGGGGTATAGGTGTGGGCCCCTTCCTTCCAGGCAAGGCTGCACAGCCCACCACCACAGTCCAGGGACCCCAGAGTGGGAAGAACCCGGAGGCTGGCGAGGCCTCTTGGTACAGCCTAGGAATTTAGGGCTTCCTCTAGGAATTCTTTGAACGGGATGGAAGGACTATCCATGAGGGGATGAGGCATGAGGAGATGGGGGCTTGGTGCCTTTTGATACACAGGGGATGGGACATGGAGGAGGGGCTCAGTGCCCTCTGCCACTCCTTGTTGTACCACATCCATTTAAGGGTCCTCCGAAGCCCCGAGAGAGGATTAAGAGGACTGAGCCGTCAGGAGACCCTATGTAGGCGACAGAAACACCCTACAACCCTCGGAAATGGCCAGTGGTTCTTGTTCCTCCTCTCCCTCCTCCCTAAGGGTCTCAGGGCATGTGAGCTTGCAGGCTCTTATACTCAGGGTTCAGAATCTCCCCTTCCTCAGGGCCTCTCTAACCCCTTGGATACTGGTCCAGGAGCCCTGACTGGAGCACAGTGGATTTTAGTGAGGAACAGAGGAGAGAGGAGTCTGGGCTCTGGGCCACATTACCTGAAGGTGTTGCGAAGTTTCTCTCCCACCGGGTAGGTGCGGTCCTTTTTCTCAAACTCATCATCGAAGAGGGAGAGGGAGTACGCAGCTCTGTCTACCACGTAGCGGGGCCTGGGCTGGTTCATGTCTGGGGCATTGACAAGCTTTAGGAGAAGCAGAGCATGGGAAGGTGAGGGGCATCCCTTCTCAGTGCCAGCCAGGCCCTTCTCTCCCTGTCCTCTCTGCAGCAGAGATTTATCCCCGTCTTCCCGCCCCCATCCTGCAAGGTGCCTCCCTTCCTCAGTCAAGTCTTTCCACCAGACTCACAGTCTTTTGGTGGCCTTCCTCCTCAGGCACTGATGATACACACACTCGCCCTGGCTGTTTTGCTTGGCACCCAGCACGCGGCTGGCACTCCACACCCGTGACATCACTGTCACTCCCGCTGAGCACCAGGCAGAGAGGAGGTGGGAGTAGAAGGACAAAAGCCCCAGCTGGTTTCCACACGTGAATGCTGCTCCCCTTAGGCTGGGATGGCTCCACAGACTTCCTGCCCCAGGCCTCCTTCCCTGGCAGAAGGACTCATATCATTCAGCCAGTTAACTTGGAACAATTGAGGAAACAGCCTGCCTAGAGGCAGGGGGATAGCCAAGGTGACCTCAGGAGGACCTTTGTTGGATGAAGCTCCTGCCTACGACTTCACCAACAGGTTTCCCCAGGAAGGACAATGGTGTGCTCGGGGAAGTCTGGATGGTCAACTTTTCCTACAGCTTCCTGGGCCTAGCCTTTCCTCCACCCTTGTGTACTAGTGTCTCTCTCCTCCTCACGCTTTGCGTAACCTCACTGATGTTCCAGCAGCTGAGCTGGGCAGAGCTTGGTGCCGCGGCCCTTGGGGCCCAGAGGAGGTCCCTGTGAGAATGTTTCCTTCACCCTCCTCTAACTCTGACCCCTTCCCCAGTCCCTCAAGCCCAGCTGGCAAAAGCTATGTAGAGGCCCTCAGGGAGGAGAGAGAGAGAGGGTGGTTTGAGGAAAGACTGGCATTTGAGAGGTCCCGGGGAATCCGGGGTGGCTGTAACCCCAAAGGTTTGAAGGGTGACGATGTGCAAGCCCAGGGGGACCCACCTGAGCAGGGAGGGGGCGAAGGCCTCGGGGAGGGGGTTAGCATATGCAAGAGAACCCTGGGAAGAGCCGAGAATCCAGGGACCTGAGGCTGGTTCTGGCCTTGTAGGACAGAAGGAAAGAGTGACATTGATTCTCTGAACTTCCAACCCATTATCAGCAACGTGGGTTAGGTGACTTCCTGCACAGGGATGTAGCCCTGATGGTCGAGGAGGAATTAAGCAAAATGAAAAGGACAGCAACCTGAGGGTCTTGGTTACGGAAGTTGAGCTTGAGATGATTAGTGCATCCATTCCTTTGGTCTAGGGGCTGAGACAGCCTTCTGGAATGGAAGCTAAGGTTTGCACTGTGAAATCCCACGATGACACCCACCAGAGGGTAAAAATGGTGGATGAATCTACCTGCAGAGCCCCTGCCCAGCTACTTGCCTGATATTTAGTACCCAACAAATGCTCGTTGAGTGAATCAACCAGTGGGGTTTTGGAGGAGACATGGGCAGAAGTGAGTAAGGGCCATGCTATGAGACACTTGTAGTGGAGAAACTCAAAGTGACCTCAGGAAAGCAGCCCAAGTTTTAGAGGCAGAAGGAGCTGACTTCAAAGACGCAGTTTCTTCATCTGTAAGTGAGGATAATAACAGTCCCAGGCTGTTGCTGTGAGGATTAAGAGAGCTTGTGTGTGACTCTGGTTTCCTGGGTTCCCAGTGAATGCTAACGACACTGGTTATTATTATTAAGATGGGAGGATGCTTTCCTGCTTGTGAGAGATGGTTCTCCAGCAACCAGTCTTCATGCTCCATGGAGTAGATGGCTTCATTCTTCCTCCCGCCCTCCCTGGAGTCTGCCAGGGTCTGCCTTGCTGGCTGGTTTGCTTGGCAGGATCCTTGGGAGCAGTGCGTATGACTCCCCAGGGGAACCCATAGTGCTAGGCTTGGCTTCAGGGTTGCTTGCAGTTTGGGGTGTGTTTCCCAGGCTAGTGAACTGACCAAAAGAACTGGCCAGATATTGCAAGGTGAGCTGACTGACGAAAGCAGAGCCACTTAGGGGAGGGTTGAGAGGGAAGGAACCTTGCTTCTGGGCCAGCCAGTAGGGTGGGGGTGGGGTGGGCTGAAGGATCGCACCAGGCTATTCTTAAAGGCTGTCTGTTCTGCTAGTACATTTATGGGGTGGGATATCCCATGCTATCAGCTCTCCCATTTCCTCAGTGGTGTCTTTCTCCCTGCCACCCAGTCACTCCTTTCCTGTCAATTGTCCCCAACCCCAGCCCATCCTATTGCTGGTTCCTTCCTTTTTTCCCCCTTTCCCCTCCTGTTCGTGGCCTTCACCCTGCAGGTCTGACTTCAGTCAAACACCCTTCTTCACTGACTTTTTGGCCACCAGCTCGACTCTTCCACTTGGCACATGTGTCCCGCTGGGAAAACCCAGTCGTTATTTCCAGGAGGTACCAAGCCCAGGTTCCTTTTTTTTAGGTCTTGTGTTAGACGATCCAGTTGACTGGTCCCTCTGCCCCATGGGGGCAGGTTGTTCACCCCAAACAGGCTTGGGTCTCTCCACAGTTCCTCCTCACCCTAGGTGCTCTGACTCATTGCTGCCTTTCTAGACCTGCCTGTCCTCAAGACCTGCTTGAATTCCTCTCCCCACCCCCATCCAGAAGTCTTTCCCACCACCCTGGCCTGGGGCGACTGTTTCATCCCCCTCTGTTCCCTTTCAGGGCTAGTCTGGCCTAGGTACTGTGGTGGGCCTCAGCCGTTCCTGGCTGCCTGTCCAGGAAAGGGAGGGAGGAAAGGTGTAGGGGTAGGGATCCTTTAGTGAGTAATGGGTGTGTAACTCAGTATTGTCTCTGCCTCTCTGGGCAAGGTTTCCCTGTATCTTGAACTCTGAGAGTCCCCAGTGACACAGGGTAGCAGAAGGGAAAAATCCCTTTGCTTTTGGGTAACCCCAATCTGCCCCTTTCCTGTACTCTTCCTCTTCTGTTCCAGGACTGGGGTGTTGCAGGGGATCAGGGCTTTTCACAAACCTGTTAATAAAAAGGAAAAGCCAGCAGTTGGCTTTGAAGTCAGGAAGTTTTGTCTAGAAGGGAAGTTGAGGACTGTGCTGGCAATTCTCTTATTTTGTGCCTGAAGAAACTGAGTCACGGAGAACAACAGATGTGTGTGAACTAGGCCTTGACAACTACTCAAATGCTTCTGATAGAAGGGCTCCAGGACTCCACCAGGACTCCAAGGCTCAGCACTGACACGTGCTCTCTGATGACGTTGCATCACACAAGACTTTTGGGTTCTGTTTCTCCTCTTGATGACCCTGCCTAGATTCTGCCTCCTGTCCTGGCCTAAGCTCATCTAGCTTGATGACAGAGTTGTGTGTGTAGTTTCAGGGGCAACCCTGGCTCCTTGAAAGAGGGAGGAGACACCTTTATCATACATCCTGTTTTCAGGAAGGGAAGGCTGAGGTGGGGTGGGCATACCAGGGACAGTCCTGTCATCCCCAGTCAGTCCTTCAGACCTCGGAGTAAAGGGGGTGGGGTGAGAAGGGAAGAGCAGGGAGCTATTACAGTGGAGAGGACCTCAACCTCTTGTAGATCGCTCTTAAGGGTTCTCAGAGAGCTAAGAGAGCCTTAAGGTGCTGGGTTGGGTGGGAAGGTAAAAGAACAAGAGATGGTTTGGGGGTTAAGAGCACTTATTGGTCTTGCAGAAGAACAGGGTTCAATCCCTAGCACTCACATGGTGTCTTACAACCCCTAACTCCAGTTCCAGGGAATCTGACAGCCTCTTCTGCCCCTGTGGGCATCAGGCACACATGTCATACATACATACATACATACACTCATATACATAAAATTTAAACCTCTAAAACAACAACAACAAAAAGGAGCAAGGCAGTGAGAGAGGTATCAGGAACGAGATGATCTGATCCCTTGTTAAACACAGTCCTGGTAAGCCAAGTGTTCTGTGGTCATAGCTGTGTATTGAGCCACAGGACTATATAGCTCCTCTGCTTCAATAGCTTGCAGGAGCCATGTGACAGTATTGAGGGACAGGAAGGTGACTCTCACGATGGAAAAAGGGAGGAGGGCATCCTGAAGAGCTAGGGGTGGGCTCTTTAGGACTTAAAGAAGGAGAGAGAGAGAGGGAGGGAGGGAGAGGGAGAGAAGAGAGAGAGAGAGAGAGAGAGGGAGAGAGAGAGAAGATAGGAGATAGGAGATGTGGTCACATAAAAAACCCTAAATCTGGGCCAGGGAAGGAATAAGGTCAGCCTGGGATCCTGTACAGCTGAGGAGCTGGAGAAAGAGAGGAAGGAGAAGGCGACAAACGGACTCCGTGAGGACCCCTTCCAGTGAACTCCTACAAAACAAAGTCCACTGGACCTCCTCCCTAGCATGTGTCTGACCAGGTCTGTGGATCCCCTTAGGATGCTTGTTTAGGGGGACTCAGCACGATGCTCAAGGGAATGAAGAGAGGGGTGCCTGGTCCTGGACTGCATACAGTCAGTTCTGGCCATTATTGCCACTGTCACTCTGCAAGAGTCCCTTTCTGGCTCTGTGACCCTAGGCATCTCACTAGGCCTTCTTTTCCTGCCTGATCCCAGGCTTCAGCCACAGGCCCTCCTACTCCTGATGGTTTTGGGCTGGTGGAGAGAGATACAAATGGTTTCTGGAGGAGGAGGAACACTGGGGAGCAGAAAGGCGAGGGCCTGCCCATGGATTTCTGTCCTCTCTGGAGGTGACCCTGTCACTGCGGCCCAGAATGACTTCCTTCCTGAGCCCTGGCTGCCGGGAGGCGCCTCAGGGGAGTTGACACACCTGTGCCAGACACTGGAGCAGCCCGGGCCTGGCAGATCCCAGGCATCCTTATCATAGGTCTCTACCTGTCTAATGGCTGTGTCCTGGGGAGTGGAAAGGTCACCTTGATGTCCCCTTTGCTTCAAGGGCTTGCCTTTTGCCTTTCCTTCTTCATTTAGCGTAGGCATTTCTAGAAAGGGAGTCTCTCTATGGCCAGTGTAGGGATTGACAGAAGGTTGGGGTCCTAGCTAGAGACTGTGTCCCAGACAGAAGGAAAAGGCTCTAGAAATCTGTCACCCATAAGGCACTTTGAAATACTCTTTCTATTGTCACCGGTTTCTTGCACAAATCTGCAGTCCCCTTCTAGCCCCAGAGGGGATATATCTAAGGCAAATGTTGGTTCTCTGGCTGTTCTGGGACTGTGTCCTGTGAAGGGGACTCATTACTGTGGCACTCAAGTCCCCATTCCTTATCTCCAAGCCGCTCGCCCATCGGCTCTCCCTGTTGAGAAGGGATGAACTGGGACTAAGTCCCAGCAGAGGGCCTGAGGGAGATGCTGAATAGTGAGACCTGCACCAGGCCACAAGATCACTGTACGGACGCATGTGGTTCGGTTCTTAGAAATCCCTATCGAGACCAGCGAATCCAAGAATCCGGGTCAAATTTCCAGGTGGCATTGAGGGGAGGCTGACTCCCCCAGAGGATTATTATATCCTTCAAGTCATGACCACATCACCCTCCATTTGGCTCATGTCCAGCTGGTCCCCATCCCTTTGACAACCCTCCTCAGGTCATTTTGTAAAAGTTGACACACTCTCACTAAGTATAGATTTTATGTCACTCTTCTGGAAGTCTCTGAGTACTAAGAGATAAAGGCGTCACCTTGCTTCAGGATTCCGTACAGCGAGCCCCAGGTCAGGACAGACCCCAGGATGTACAGGGAAGGCTGGCATAGTAGTGGATCCGGTTCTGGTATGTGCTGGTCTTCATGCTGCCCAAGCAGGCTCTGACTAGGTTCTGAGAGCATGTGTGTGTGTGTGTGTGTGTGTGTGTGTGTGTGTGTGTGTGTGTGTGTGTGTGTGTGTGTGTGTGGTGTGCTGCAGGGGCTCTGGGAGAGAATTATCTTCGAGTAAAAACACATAGGGAGAAATTCCTCTCTCAGTCTGCCCTATTTCAGGGTGGGTAAGGCTTTGCCACTTCAAGGGGCATGTCCTTAAAGCTGATCTTCTCCAGGCACTCAGTCCTAACAGGCCCAAGGTCAACTGAGTAGCTGCTGCTGTGATGATAAAAGATTTGCTGGCCTAGTTTGGGGGAGCCTCTGGCTAATTTGCAGAAGCAGAGGCACTGTCCAGGGATACCATGGGACCCCTTAGAACTACGGGGTGGGAAGTTCAGGGGCTGGGTGCTTGTGGGCCTGGCTCCTTACGTTCTGCACTGACCCAGGCCCTCCCATGTTGCACCGTGCACACTCTGCCTGCCTGATGGAGCCTGTCCCTCGCTTCCCCTTCTTTTCCTCAGCCTCCTCCCTGGCTACCTCTTTCAGCTTCTCAGAAGTAACAGGGACCAAGTAGGAGTCCATACAGCTCACACTAAGTACCCTGCACTCTGGAAAGTAAGTGAGGGAAGAACGGAGTCTGGAGATGGGGACAGGAGATACAGCCACACAGACAGATGTACAGAGAGCTCTTTGCTTCCAGGACTTGAAGCGGAGAGCGCAGGTGGCTCAGGAAGGCCCAAGCTCCATTCCTTTTCCTGGAAGGCCTCATGTTGTCCCACTCTGAGTGTCACTGACCTCTTCCAACACAGCGTCCGTTCTGCTTGCTCCTCCAGCTAAACTCGGCCTAGTAGCTGAGGTCTTTATGGTGGGCTCCACACAGGGGAGGGCTGGAGGGCCGCTCACAGGCTACGGTCCAGAGCGTCCTTCTGACTTGTGCTCAGGTTGGCAAGTCCCCACCCAGTCATCTCTCTTTTGGAGGTACCCCTGGGGCCTGTCCTCTTCTCTGGATAACCCCCGGCCCTTTGGGTGGGTTGGGCTGGGTGGGGCTTACCTCTGAGTGAGCAGAGCCGGCTGGGCAGGGCTGCAGGTGTGTCTGGGCAGCGGGCAGCAGGCAGTGGAGAGGTGTTCCTGAGGTGTGTGAAAGGGCTCTGCTCAAATAATCCAGGGAGGCGTTTATAAATAACTTCACCTCAGGGCCACGGGTGAGCCCCGGCTTCTGATTGGCTGGGAGGGGAAGTGGTTTTGAACACTACACCAGGGCTAAGCCTAAGGAGATAGGAAAAGGAGATAAGGGGGAGAAGGTCCCAAATGAACAGCCCTTTTTTTGTTTTACCCAGGGAGCAGGGCTGTTTGATGGGAGCTGGCACTTCCTAAATCCACCCTGAAGACAATAGGTCACATTCAGCGGGGCCACTACCCCACAGACTCCCCCAAGGCAGTCAATAGAGGAGGGGCACCAGGCAGATTCCTCTCTGAGCCTGCTGTCCTACTACTTATGGGGCTGGGGGTCAAACCACACAGCCTCTTGGACAATGGACGCCATTGAAGGCACCTGAGAGGTGGGACTCTGAGGCTCTTGCTTTGAAGGTTGGGGAACAGGAGGTGGGGGACAGTGGACCTCTGAGCACTCTGGGAAAGGGCACGAATGGTGTCTGGAGGCCCTGAAGGCCTTGAAATACTTGGAGCTGAGGTGGGGACTTGGTATCCAGTTCTTTCCCGGACCTTAAATCACTGTGAAATTTGTCCCGGTGCATTGGGAGCAGCACTTTCAGAACTGCCGGAGACGCCATGAGGCTCGGGCTCACTGTGGTAAAGGAGCTTAAAAAGGTGGACCTATAGCAAATTTAGGCAAGGTGTTCTGGAAGCCAGCAACTCTACTCCACAGGCTCCACCCCTTCCAGGAGCCGATGCAGCAGAGCCAATGGCAAGGCTTAGGTTCCCAGCTGCCTTTGGGGGCAAAGCTGTGGGGTTCCAAGGCCACAGGTGGAGCCGAGACCTCTGAAAGCAGTGTGGAGAATTCACTGTGTGGTGCTCCTCCCTGATGCCAGGGGGCGGGTTTTTGTTTTTGTTTTGTTTTCAAGACAGCTTTTCCAGACTGTCCTAGCCCCGAGTTGTCCTTCCATCTCTCTAAGACAAAACAGAAGCTCTCAAGTGTGATGGGGCTAATACAGGGGTGCTTTGGTGAAGCTCTGTTGGAAGCGTCCCTGGCAAGGTGAAATGAATTTGCTGAGGTACATAACAGGGACTCAACAAATATTTGTTGAATGAATGAAAGTATGAATTGTCTGCAAGCCCAACCCAAGGGATAGTCTGTAGATGCATTGCTTGTGGGGACTAAGGAAACACCCAAGGTCACTCAGAGTTGTCAAGGTGTAGCCAGACAACTTGCTGAAGAAATCCAGAATGCAAAGGACCCAAGCGTGACTGGCACTCCGGTGAGGGGAGGACGTGTAGGTGGGCACATGTCTTGTGCCTGCAGCATTTCTTGCCTCAGTCTCATAACATGGGGCATAGCCAGGGGGTGTGATGTGCCCAGCCGTCAGTCTTTCCAACCTGCTTACTCTCTGAAGATGCCAGTGGGCAGTTCCCGGCTTGTTTACATTTGCATTTCGACCACCTAGCCCGATGCCTAGTACTCACTAAGACTTCACTATGAGTCTCTGAAATGGGTGAATGATCATATGATGGAGGTTTTGAACGAAGCAAAACCTAAAAGCAAGAATCTGTCCATTGGCATCCAGCACTGTCCAGTGCAGTGGACAGTCTGGCCTGATCTGTATTTTGGCCAGGAAATTCCTAGAAAGCAGGTGAGTCATCAGACTCCTACTGTAGCCAAGTGACAGTGGCCATCAGAACCAAACAGGTCCCTTTGCTGAGGCACCATGTCTATTAGGGAATTCTTGGCTGTACTTCTTTTGGGCAGAGAGTGTACCACCCAGCTGACCGGGACAACCTGGGTTGTCTGCAGGTACCCTTCTCTTTTAAATGACCCACAAATATTTTGGGCTACTAACCAGTTTAGTGTGAGCTATTAACTGAGCTAGTTCCCTCTGAGCCCTGTCTGGCTTGCTATAGTACCTTTCAACTTTCATATAGGCTATCTGATTTAATTCTAGAACCAACTATGTGGTATACACATGCTACTCTAATATTTGAATGAGTAAACAGAGTCAAAGGGAAATAACTCGCCCAGGATCACAAAGATCTTCATGGAAGAGATGGGAAGTGAATTTGGTTAAGTGTATGCTTGTTACATCACTTTGTCTTTGACAAAGTGAAGAAGCAAGGGTGGGGTGCTATGCCACACCCACCTTTTTGATACCATCAGCCAGGCTTTTGAACAAATCCTCAGGGGATCTGGGTAAGGTATCTGGGGCCTCCAGAACAACTCGGGAGCTCTTTGGCTCTTCTCTTCAACTTTTCTACAGTTTCAGGAAAATACTAGAGCAGAAGGTTTTACACAGTGGGACAGGATGGGTGAACTTGGAGGCTCCTTACTGAGTCATAGGTGGGAGGCCCAGGATGGAGGAACCTGGACCAAAAGTGAGGCATCAGAGGTGGTACCCAAGGGCACATGGCCCCGAGGCCTGAAAAGGCATCTTGGAGCCATATTGGATGGAATAAGCTATGGAACAGTTAGGGCTGAGGGCTGGAAATACAGAGAAGCACACACGGAGCCGAGTTAAAAGCACAGAGACAAAGAAATAGAGACAAATTCTCTGAAATAGAGAGCAGTGAAAACACTCACACCCAGAGCATCTCAGTTTGGGTTTCATTAGCTCACTCTCTGTTTTTATGACAAAAGTAATCCAACCGCAGCCCTTATCTTCCTCTGGGGCAGGACAGATTCTTCTTTGGAAGTACCTGTTTTACTCTTACCTTAGGGCTGGAAGTTGTATTGACTCCCTCGCTCCCTCGCTCCCTCGCTCCCTCAATCCCTCCCTCCCTCCTCCCAAACCACTGCTCTAGTGACAGGAACTTGTCTTTTGAACACCAGTATAATTAAGACAGGATTCCTGTCAAAAAACTATCCAGTCTGTGAGAGGAAAGCTGATCTATAATCCCCAGGGTGTCACTTCCAGGAAGTTGGGTGTGTAACGCTCCTGGAAACACTGTTTCCAGAGGGCTTTTCCAGATTGTTTCCAGTCGTCTGTGATTTCTGAATCAATCCAAGGGCCTCTGCTTTAAGCCTATCCTTGGGTACCCTACTGAACCTAAGCTTCCAGTGTCCCCAGCTCAGTTCACCAACATCTCATGTTACATGTGAGCACGCACGCACACAGCTTGCACACATGCCATAGTCTTATCAAACAGGTCTGGGATTTTATGAGTTATGCAGATAAAGCCACAGTGTTCATCAAGTACCCTCTTGACAAACTTCATTCTTGAGCTGTTCCTGCTAAAGAACAGTACATTTTCAGACGAGTAAGCTGAAGCTAACCCTGTAAGACAGACACTAGATCGCCCCGAACTGACTGTCCATCCTTGGGCCTCTGACACTGTGGCTTCTTGCATGAATGCCTTGTATGGAGCCGGTGCCAAGGGTGTGGGCAGGATCATGTTTTGGGCAGAGTGGCCCAATGACTTAAACAAACATCTCGAGCTCAAAGACAGACAAGTCTTCACTCCTGACCTGAAATGCAGGATCTGACCTGAGTCCCAGGCTGCCAGCTTCAGGAGCACTCAGGACTGGTAGGAAGTGGCGCTTCCCACAGGAAGTCAAGTCCTCACCTCTCTCCACAGGGAAGTGAGCTCAGGGGTTTAGTACCCCAGCTTCGACATCATGGTCTGGTCAGAATTTGGCAGAAGGGAATAGAGTGGACAGGGTGATGATAGCTGGGTTCAGCTACCACACAGGGAACCTGAGCTAATACCATTTGCCTGGCACGGTGATAGGCATACGGGATCCAAGATCCAGCAAGAACCAGTCCGAGACGTCAAGACCCTGACCTGACAGGAGCAGACAGAAGAGGCTTCCAGAATATGTGTGACAGTGCTGGGGAATGGTAGGCCAGAAGGAGCTTAGAGTAGCTTTTGAGGTGAGTGGTCCGGTCAGGACCTGATTAGAGAGTAAGGTTAGAATAGGTTATAGTCCCTAGAGTCTGACACTCAAAGAAAACAGATATTACAGAGCTATGAAGAGGGAACTGAGGAGAGACCTTAGGGCTTGTCTGAGAGACCTCCTCCCTCATTTTACAGATGACCCAAGTCCACAGAGAAGGCCAGCAACCTTCTTGAGGTCACCAGGAGGGCTAAGAAGGCATCTTGGTTGGTGCCCCACAGGACACTTCACCTGTCTTGGAATACAGCCAAATTTTTCTTCCCCAAAACCTCCCTCCCATTCCTTACATTCTACACCCCTCAGTCCATTTTGCCTTCCTGAGGTGATGACCCAGGTCTCCCTGCTGTCTGTTGGGAGGGGAGCAGGTCTGTTGGGCTTGGAAACATAGCAGCTGAGGCTCTAACTGGGGCAGTTCTGCAGCTTCTAAAAAGAGGAGGCCTGGTGAGACAGCATAGCAGGAAAGACACTTTCTGCCAAGCCTGATGACCTGAGTTTGATCCCTAGGATTCACATGGTGGAATGAAAGAATAGTTTCCCAGTGACCTCTGTGTGTGTATGTGTGTGTGTGTGTGTGTGTATGAGTGTTTGTGTGTATGTATGTATAGGTATGTCTATGTATGTGTATACATATACATGATAAACCAATAAATAAATAAAATAAAGGGAAAGAGGGGGTGATATTGCTCAGAGCCAGAAGTTGATGGCCTAGGTGGGAGTGTCCAAGGCAGTTTAAGCCAGCCTGGAAATGCTGAGACCAGGCCTGAGGACAGGTCTGGTGGGGACAAGTTCTGGGCTGTTGGTGGTAACAGACAGGCCTCCTGGCTGCAATTCTTAGTAACTAGGTATAGAGGATGTTTTAAAGGGTAAGTGTAGGGAGCCCAAGCCTCCAAGCAAGCTCAGGGAAAATTGAAATAGCTGGAGAAACACAAAATTGGTCGTCTTGGTTTCCAGGGCAGCATCGTGTCTCCACATCTGGCTTGGCTTAGGCAGCATGTGGATTAGATGGAAAAACAGTGTTTGCGATTTGGGGTCAGTTGGAAGAAGGGGGTGTATGTCTGTCTGTCTTTCCTTCCCCA